TTATTATTGTAGTTTTTCCAAGAATTTGGGTCATAATTAATGTTGCATGATTTCAAGACATTTTAATCAAACCAAAATGTAAAAAAAACTTAAAACAACTACTACAGGGAATTTGCAAAGAAAAATTAACAGCCAAGCTTGCTGAAAAAAAATCTCCCCCTACTAAAAAAATAATTTTTGCAAAGTGTTAAAACAATGAATTCTTTATGATAATGAAATGATTAATTAATATATTATTACAAAAAAGGCAACAAAAATGTTGATCAAAAGCAGTAAAGCGCCACTAAAGAAAAAAAGTCTATTGGATTACTTTATTTTGTTAAAAAAATTCGCTTTAAATTTGCTTGTTTTCAAACTTTAAATATTTTGTGTTATTAAGCCTATTTTTCTTTAATTTTTGAGATTTAAAAATTTAAGTTTAAGCCTTAAACTCGAGTTTAACTAAACTAGGTTTTAAAGAGTTTAAGTCAAAATTCTTATAAATTTATAATAATTTCAATAAAGTAAATAAAACACCATACAAATTTTTAATATAAATTAAATAATTTAAATGTTATAACAATTTAAAATTTATAGAAAAGTTTTAAAAATAAAAAAATAATATGAAAAAATTTGTTTAACTTTAAAACTACTTACTGTAGGGGTTAAACTCTTTATTCATTTAAATATTTTAAATTTTATAGCTTTTTTAAAACCTAAAACGCTTTGACGCTTTAATTGTAATTACCTATTACAATTTACCTACCAAACTAATGAAAATTATAGCTTTTCCAAAAATCTGTTTTAATGCAGTTTTAATTGAACATTTAAAACGCATATTGCTGGTGTCATTGTTGGCAATTAAAGCAATTTGTAGTGGCCACACCATTATGACCACCACCAGCAGCAGCAGCAACAAACACTTGGCAATAACCACAAACTAAACAATAAACATAAACGCCAAAAAAAAAATTGACTGAAAACTATAGAGCAAAATATACCAAATACGAATGCATGTTGCATCATAATCACCTATAATTTATCACTTACATACATGTAAATAATCATACGCATACTTGAAGCCACCACAACAACAATCCAAGCAAAAGCAGTAGTAGTAGTCACTAACAGCAGTCATGTAACAAATCGCGGGTGTTATTTTCAATTGAAAAACAGATTCCATAACCATTGGAGAAAAACATCAATTCTAAAAATTTTATTGTGAAAATTCTTGGTTTATACCGAGAAGCATTTATTAGTTGTTGGCCATATACACAATATGCAACTGCAACTGCTGTTATGGCTAGTGCTGGTGTAGTGGTAGTATTTCATATTGGCCTCCAAACAATGTCACTGGTTTGGTGAAATTAATGAACATTGTCACATTTGCATTCATTGTCATCCTTGGCCACTTGCTGCGTTAGATGTTTCTCATCGAATACAATGCATATGAATACACATCTAGAGGAGACATTAATACAAATGAGCCAACAACAACAGCAGCAGCAGCAGCACAGTAAACCAACAGTCAGTATCACAACTGTAGTTGTTGTTGTTATTATTATTGCTGTTAGTTTTATTGTAGTTGCAATATTTTGTTGTTCATTTGTTTGTTTATTTATTCTTTTACTGTTTGGCATTGATTTAACCAAACAGTCTAAAGCCCAAACAGCAGACAATTTGTTTGTCATTTATATCATTGTATGTATGTATATATCTTTTGCTCTCAAAATAAATTGTTTGTTTGTATATGATTCAGTCAGTTAAAGCACACAAACTGTGTCATTGTTTTGTATCAAAAAAAAAACTAAAAATTATTGATTGGTTCTTTTAAGAAATTTGATTTTCAAAATTAATTTTAACCAGAAATTCTCTCTGGTTAGTGAAATATGAAAAATTATAAAGAAACTAAAATTTTTAGTAATATTTATATGAGAGCTTGAAGAAAAATGTTATAAATCAGTTACAATTAGAGTGATAAGATTTGTTTGAAATATTAAAAATAAAATTAATTAAAAGTGTTTCAGTTTAGGCCAGAAAAACACAATTTTTTCTAAGAAAATGTTAAGCTAAGTTAGGGAAAACTTAAGTTTAGTGCAAAATTTAGTTTGTTTTATATTTCTGGCATCCAAATAAACAATTTCCATAAATTAGTTCCGTAGTTTAAGCTTAAACTCGAGTTTAACTAATCCCAAGTTTTGAGAGTTTAAGTAAAAATTTCTTGAAATTTGTTATATTTAGAAAAACTAAAACAGTTTTAGATACAAATGAGTTTTATAAACTAAGTTTTATTAAAATTGTAATTAAACTATAGATTTTAGTTATATTAATTTTGTTTATTTGATATAGTTTTCTTTGAAAAACCACATCATCAAACAAAATTGACAGATATGTATGAAAAACCCACAAAAAAAACTCAAACTCTAGATTATTTTATTACAACAAAAACCAGCGCTTGAAACGTTTTATATGCACGATGATAAACAAGATATTTTTTTGTTTGCTTTTCGCTCATTGTGCATAAAAATTGTTATTTGAATTTTTGACATTTGTTAAGCTTTCAATCAAGCTCACAGTCATCAAATGACATTTGCAGACTAATGAATTTTAAAATCTTAATTTGTTTAAACGTACAGCAGAAATCTCTTTTTTTAAGTTAAAAAAAAAAAAACTAACAAGAGATGAAAACAAGTAAAAAAAACTCTTGACTAGACTGTATGTCTGTCACAGAGTCAAAATACGTTACAGGTTATTCTGTTTTTTTTGTGTGTTTTTGCCAATAAATTTGAATGAATGATCGTTTTATAATATGACAAACAGTCAAACAAACGAACAATCAAACAATATTGTATGTAGATATTGATGTTTATACAAACTGAAGCTGTTGCTGCTGCGACGGCTGCCGGCTAACCGACCGGTACGCATGAATGAATGAGCAGGGAATAAATTACAATAATGGTCTTTTTTTTGAAATGAAATTCAATAAAGCTTTCTTTCATCTTTCTTGGCTTTATAACTCGTACAGTAGATATGAATTAAACATTATTGTAAGAAAATCCACGTTAAGTGAATGGTAATATCACAAAAATCATACACATATTTGATCAATCACACCAATATATGTATGTATGTACCTTCGTTTGTTCATTCATTCCAACAGTCAGTCATTTTTATTCATTCATATACATAAAAGTGGCAAAAAAATTAATGCATATATTTTTGCAGTGATGCATAAATATTTGGTTTATTTTAACGAGATCGAAGAGGGACCCAGACCCCAGAAATGAAATGAGTAGTTTTTTTCAAAGTTTGACAATGCTCTCATGTTGTTGTTGTTGCCGCTGATGATGATTGTTCATGCAAAAAGCTTTTTTTTTTCAAACGGTAAGTGTATAAATGTTACAAAAAAAAAAAACAATTTTAACCGCACCGTTTTAGTGTCAATGGGGAGTTAACTGTCGAAAATGACAGTTGAAAATAATTTAAGAAATAAAACGGTTTGTTTTGGTTTTGTTTTAAAGAAATTGTAAAAGTTTGTTGTGATTATTTAATTCTTTAGAAAAAAACTTTATTTTGTTATTTTGTATTGTTTTCTTTAGAGGCGTGGGAGCGTAAATTTTTTGATTTAAATTTCAATAGCAACAAAGTTAAGCAACATTTAAACATGTTGCTAAACATTAAACAAAACTTATAAGGTTTTGGTTTAACAAATTTCTTTGTTAAATCTTTATATTTAGAAAATTTTAATTTCTTTTAAATGATTTGTAAAGCCTACTTTATAACAAACAAAGTGTTGCCAATTTTTCTTGAAAATAAGCTTAAACTTGGGTTTAACTAAACTAGCTTTAACCAAGTTTAAGTAAAACTTTGCACTAAATATAAAAGCTCATAAAATATTTAAGCTTTCCCTAACAAAATTATTAATTTATAAGTTCAACTAAACTCGCAAAAAGCTAATTTCTTTGAAAAAACTGAAAATTTATAACAGATTTAAAAAGTCTGCCTTACAACAAACAAAATTTGACCACCTTTTCTTAAAAATAAGCTTAAACTTGAGTTTAACTAAACTGGCTTTAATCAAGTTTAAGTAAAATTTTGAGGTAAATATAAAAGCTCATCAAATATTAAAGCTTTACACAACAAAATTTTTAGCATATAAGTTCAACTAAACTCTCTAAAAGCTAATTTCTTTGTGAAATCTGGAAATTTTTTAAAATTTATAACAGAAGTCTTAAGCCTGCTTTACAACAAATAAAATTTGCCCACTTTTGCTTAAAAATAAGCTTAAACTCGAGTTTAACTAAACTAGCTTTAATCAAGTTTAAGTAAAATTTTACCCCAAATATAAAAGCTCTTAAGCTAGCTATTCATCTCACAACATAATTATTAACCTACAAGTTTTTCTAAACCACATTAAAGCCAGTTTAATTAATTAATTTCTTAAAAAAAACCCTAATCCTCAATAAAATTCCCCATAAACTCATATTATCTTAACTTAAACCTACTTAATTTATAAAATAAAGAACAATGTAATACCCAAAAATTTATGCATGTCTAGGTACTAGAGAATTATTAATATAAATTGTAGGAGTGAGGGTGGCATTAATACAAAATAAATTTTTCTTCGATTTTGTCTTTTTTTTTTCGTTTTTTAACAATTTCATTTTACGTTAACAATGTGGTTAGGAGTTTGTTTGGTTTTCTTATTGTGGTCTTTTGTTTAGAATTGTTATTGGTTTTTTGTGTTCTTTTATGTTATTTTTTTTTTTGCTTTTCATTTCATTTACACAGACGCCCCGTCAATCACTCACGCACCATTTTGACAATTGAATGAATAGTAAATAAATAGAGGGAAGTTATGAAAATAAAACAAAAAGTAAAGAACAAAACAACAAAAAATTATGGTACGTCATGTTTAACAGAAACTTAAACATAGTACATAAAACAGCCATATTTAAAAAAAAAGCTTAAAGTTAAAGTAAAAAAGGATATATTTAAACATAATAAGATGTTAAACTTACTGTGTTGATGATAGCTGGGGTAATATCTTCTATGATGACCATTACTTTCGAGAGCATAAAATGCACCCATATCGCTGGTATCTAAACCTAAACCACTGCCAGCACCGGCTCCACTGCCACCTCCTAAACCGGTGCTACCACTGGCCGTTGAACCCAGACCACCACCTAAACCGTGATGACCCAGTCCTGAGGCGGAGGCGCCCAAACCATTGGTTTGTGGTGAGCCTCCACCTACTAAACGCGGATTATCATACCAGCTGCGGGCAGCAGCTTCCGCCGTTGAAGTCATATCCATATCAAGTATAATTTTGAAAAATTTTTTATAACAAACCCGGGTAAATTAAAAAAATAATTAACTTATTAATTTGAGCAAAAAATTCCAAGGGTTTTTTTTTTCTTTAAGCTTAAGTATACTTTTAAGACGTTTTCTATTTTTTTGGGGGAAATTGAGTTTTAAATTTTTTATCTCTGGTACACTAAGTTCATTTTTAACTAAAAGTAAAGAAAATTTTAAATAATTCATTAAAAACAATTTGTATTTGTTTATGTAGAAATGATGGAAGGACACAAACTAGGAAATCAACTTAAATTTGTTTTGGTTTATAATTATAGTTTTTTAATTTGTTTTTAAACATTTTGTTTGTATTTATTGGG